TAATAGATTAGTTAACTGATTTGAATAAAGCTTAAATTATAAAATAATAAATCGTATAAATAATATTAAAAAATATAAAGTCACATAAACTCGAGGTAAAAATTAAGTATTTTATAATTGAGAAAAATATTATTATATCTTAAAATTATTACAAGAATATGTTTTTCAATAAGGCATAGTATTTAAGGCTATTTTATGAACAAATTAAAAAATTATGTACAAATTAATTTATAAATTTATATTTGGGTTGAGTGGAGTAATATGTAAATTGCATTAAAATGACAACAAAGTTAAATACATATATATATATATATAATTTGTAACGATGCGTTTAAAGCATTTGTGTATTTAGGGCGGTGGGTATATATATATATATGAGAATAAATATACATGTATATATATATATATGTATCTATTATTCCTGTAAATGGAAGTTGGAAGTTGATGGGTTGAAAATGTTAGAGAAAGACATTTAATTCAACTACCAAACTTCATTCATACCCATACACACACACTCCACTTCATTAATCCTTGGCCACATGTTATTTTGCCTTCATAAATTATCACTCCCAAAGATATATACGTATATATATATATATATATACATATATATACACTATACTTGTTTATATAACTTATAATTTATTTGTTTTTTTATATTAAGAAAAAACATAGTGTTGTTTATCAAGTTTAATCCTTAGTAATTATAATTTAATGATTATAATTTTTATATTTTACTTTAAAAGTATGAATTCATATTTCATTTAACGTAAAAAAATTGTTACTTTAAAGTTATACCGTATATTATTAATAATTAAGTTATAATATTTGATTTAATGAAATAAGTAAGTTAGCTTATTATAGTACTGGCGAGATTATAATGATCGGAGTTAAATTTTATTTTAGTAAATTTATTACAATTATGGATAAAAAATATATATTTTATGATGATTAAATTTTATTATTTTTTATTTAAAAAATATTAAAGTACCGTTTACTAACATAAATTCATTTGTAACAGTAGTTTGTTTATTAAAATTTGTATATTCTACTGAAAATCACGAGTTCAAATTTTAATTAGTGTGTAGAACTCATATGATTTAATAGAATTAGTAAGTTAGCTTATTACAATACTGGTGATACTGTAATGACTAAATTAAATTTCGTTTTTAGTAAATTTATTATAATTAAAGATAAAAAAATATCTTACGACGGTTAAATTCTATTGGATAAAATTTTATTATTTTTTATTTAAAAATTATCAAATTACCGTTTACTAACATAAATTTATTTGTAACAGTAGTTTGGTTATTAAAATTCGTATATTATACCGAAGATCACGGGTTCAAATTTTAATAAGTGTGTAGAACTCGTATGATTTAATAGAATTAGTAAGTTAGCTTACTGTAGTACTGATGATACTGTAATGACTAAATTGAACTTCGTTTTTAGTAAATTTATTATAATTAAGAATAAAAAAATATCTTACGACGGTTAAATTTTGTTGGATAAAATTTTATTATTATTATTTTTTAAAATATCAAAGTACTGTTTATCAACACAAAACTATTTGTAACAGTAGTTTAGTAATTAAAATTTGTGCGTTATATTTAAGATCACGAGTTCAAACTTCAATTAATGTGTAGAACTCAAGTACTTTGATGGCGTACTACGAATAGGCCGTGATGACGTGACGTGTAAGTATTGATTTGACGAGATTAATAATTTATATTATTATTATTATTATTATTGTTGTTGTTATTATTATTATTATTATTATAAAATAGCCCAAGGCCCAAATAACTTAAAAAAAATGAACTAGACCCAGCCTATTTTAATTCAGTCTGACATTCGGTCCAGCCCAAGCCTAGCTTCTGAGGAAAGAGAAACGGCGCCGTTTGAAGGAGGGGCTTCAGCGTCGACAGGAAAAGAAAGAAGAGAGATCGACCAGGAAGAGGAAGAAAGAAAGAAAAAGAAAAAGGGAGCAGGGGAAGACGGATGATGATGGTGATGGAAGATCGCGGTGGCAGGAAGATTAACTAGTTCTCCCCTCTGATTATCTGTTTGTTCGAAGGAGAGAGGTCTGATCGTGAGCGTTTTCTAAGGGTAAATACTGTTTCTTGTCTCTGTTACTCTTGATCTGTATTTGCAATTATGGATGGATTTGAAACTGAGTTGTTTGGCAATTGAGGACGGGATTGAGTGTCTTGAAGTTTTCGTTGGATAGACATGAATGAGCTAAGTTATAAATATGTTGTTCTTTGCAATTTGCTTTTGATTTTATTTTGCAGCTTAATATGGTACAACGTGCTTCGTTTTCAACGTTGAGTTTTTGTCTTGTTGTGTGGTAACTGCTTGATAAAATTCATCAATTAACTATGGAGAGCAAGTCCGGGTTTGGGAAATATGACCTGGTGCATCTCTCTTATGCCAATGCAGTACAAGATTTCATAACTTCTGCCAATGTATGGTGTGGATAGTTATCAGCTAGGATGTGGGGGACTTTTGGACCCATTCAGGGATAAGCTTGACCAGGCCTTCAGGATTTTCTAATAGCATGGCCTCTGTGTGTAGATGATACACATTAACCGAGAAATAGTGCAAAGGAAGATTAATATATTGTATATTCCAAGAGCAAATTTTGTTTAATCGCCTCTTGCAATGGCCTCTTCCTTCACTTTGATAGCCACCTGAACTTCTCTTTACTTGTTAACTAATCTTAATTCCCAAAGTAACATTTTCAGGACGTATACTCTTCAATCTCTCCTTCCCAACTCTCTATCTTAATCTTGACATTTTTCCTCTGCCCTAATCTCTTACTTTCCTACAAATTTTCTCCTTAAATCTGGATGCCTAATTTAGGGAAGCTATGGGGGAGACACTTTGAAACTTTTAACCTTGTATGGGTCAGTCCGTTTTCTTTGGATTGTTTCATCAATACCAATATTTGGTGGTTTCAGGGTTAAGGTAAAGGCCAGACCACCGTGGCAGGGAGCTCTGTGTGGTTAGTCTCTGGACTATTTGGATAGAAAGGAATCAGCAGATTTTTGACAACAGATATTTGTAGGACAATTTTATGTGGGAGAAGATGACCTTTTTGGCTTCCTGTTGGGCCAAGGCTCATGGGAAATATTTCTCTCACTGTCCTTCATAGGAATTGAGATGCTATAGTCTTGTGATTTGCTAGCTCTTCGATGTCTTCTTTTTCTTTTTCTTGTATTGTTTTTCTTTTTGGCTCGAGCTGGATAAGTTATCCTTTTTTTTTTTCTTTGTAATGCTCTGTTCCCTACCTTAATATTGTTTCTTTTTCTACCGAAAAAAGGGATCCCATTTGCGGTTTGAGATCCTAAGCAATGCCATACCAGGAACAATTTCCAAAATTTGGAACAAAAATTGCCGGGGGGGGTTGAGCAATCAAGGTAACAACAGTCATTCCTTGAGAATTGCATCTTACTTATATGACCCATGCTTGTGCTCAGGGTAGTGGTTGCATCATTTCTCAAATATGAGCTATATTTTTTTATTCAGTTTTAAGGTGAGGGCATTGAACTTGACTAATTAAGTCGTTCTCGTTTTGTTTGTTTCAACCGCTTTATATCTGTTCTTTTGAATTAATCCTAAGATTGTAACTGACTCATTGTTCACTTAATTATGAACTTAATAACTTCTTGTCTTTTCTATGTTTATTCAGTGCTGTAGAATTTTTTATGGCAATCAGTAAAACAGAAGTTAACTTGAGGAGGTTGCTTGCAGCAGCACCTCAGCAGGAAAATCAGGCAAAACTTATACATGTACGTCCAGGTACATTGCTAGTGCAGTTATTAGTTTCCTAATTATATGTGCATATCTGTCTTTTCTAAAGAAAGATTCCAAAACCTACAGGTGATATCATTTTTGGCATTTATAATTATGGCTTTCGTGCATTTTCTATTCTGAAAAATTTCTTTGTTGTAGAAATGGTAGTTTCTTAATGTTTACATCGTCATCACATTTTACTTGGAGATCTATGAATGATGAAAGTAAACAACTTTTTGCAGTATGTTGCTACTTTAAGAGAACAGTTAGAGCAGTTGGCTGAAGAGAAAACTCCAGAAGGCTTACCAAGGTTGATTTACTTTCTCACGTTTTTTACAGAAACTTTTTAAATCCAAGAATGTACATATGAACATGCATACCTATTTCGTTTGTTCATTGGTTGTCATTAATTGCTTTATCTGAATATGACAAAGAGGTAAGTCAGTTAACTTTTTTTCTAGGTAAGAATTATTTCCGTCTTCACTTTCTCTTCATGATGATAGTAGCTTTTTTGGTTTATAGAAGCTAATTTAGTATTATCGCTTTTCTCTATAGAGTTCCAAAGGCTGTGGTGAATGATTTTTCAGAGAAGGTTGAAGCCATTGCTTCCAAATTAGCTACTCCACCAGTATGTGCATACTATAATATGGCACTCTCTCGAATTTTTAAGATGTCTGATTTCCTTGCAAAAGTAAAATTATTATTTATTCTTGTGATACAAGACACAAATGGATTAATTTGCCTATTTAAGGATTTTGGGATAAAAACTTAGATGTTACTCCTATTTTTTCAAAAACATTACATATAAGAAGTCTTAACCATTAAATCAAGGTTTCAATTGCATCAGACACCCAGAAATTTTTTTTCTTCTGGTTTACTTTCAGCGTGAAATTCGGGTATCTCAAGATAACTCCTCGAATTCCTCCAAGGAAAGTCCTAGAGCAGATGGAGAAATTTACCCACCCTCTTCTCCTGGGCTCAGAAGGAGATTTGTGTAAGTGATTCTCAACTAGTTAGGATATGAATATTGTGTTCTGAGCCTGACTGGTGTTGCGTTGTTTGCCATGGTTCTTTTCGTTCTAAACATTGTAGTCCATTGAACAAGCCTACATCAAGTACGAAAACTGGAACTCATGATGCTTCTGAGGTTGATGCATCAACACCAGTTAAACTGGATACTGCAACGCAAGCTCACATTGAAAAGCACAGGTATTTTTTAAATCTTCCTTCTATTGCAACTAACTGGAACAGGGAATGGGGAAACTGGGATTGGGGTTTAGTTAGGATATGCAAGAGTGGTAGTTGTTAGCATAGATTTGATATAAGACAATTATTAGGAGGAAATGTTTTGAGGATTTAAACTTAAAGGTTATGGTTTGTAGAAGAACTCAAGGTTGTGGTTTGTAGAATTAGGGGGAAAAACATTAACCTCTCTAAAAATCTTCTATGATCTAGTGTATTTTGAATGCCAAGCTATTTGGAAGATTCAATTCTATAAAAAGATCAGTTTCTAGGAAATAATAGAGTTTTTGGAGCAGATGGTACTCATCAAGAGCTCTATGGGAAGTTCTTGGCGAGTTTCTTACATGATAGCTTGCATTATCAGAAAATCCAGTGGCTTTTAGAGTTGCTTCGGAGCAAATTTGGAAAAGCTAGACTTCTTCTCAGATAGCTTTTCTGTATGGGAAGCTGCTCGGTGGGAAGTTCTCATCATGGCTAGGTTGAAGAAGAGAGGAAATAACTGAAGTTCTCATCATTGGTGGGAACCTAGACTTCTTCTCAGATAGCTTTTTTGCTTGTGGTTTCTTCAGCTAGTTGGAGGAGATAACTAACTGAGGCTGAAGCTTATCTGAATATAACTGGGTATGTTATATATGTACTTTGTAAGTCTTAAATGACATTCTTCTTTCCTTCAGGAAGCTTCAAGAGGACCTGACTGATGAAATGGTTGGATTAGCAAGGCAACTCAAAGAGAGTAGTCTTATGATGAGTCGCTCCTTAGAAAACACTGAAAAGGTAAGATTTGATTTTGCAGTATTAAGTTTATTTTTGCTGTGTCTGACTAATGTATGAGCTAATGCTCTCGGCCTTCCTAATTTGTAATCTACGATAATTTCCTCGGTACTAGGAGCTTAACTTGGGTGTTGCACATTGGTATTATTTCATAGGCCTTTGTGGTTTGTCATTTAAAAAATCAGTCTTGTTTTTTTCTTTGAAAAGATTGACATTTTACAGTTTTCTCTTTAACCAAGACGGTAATGGTGGTTATTCAAAAACCATATGTTTTTATCAAACTTTTGTTCAGTAAATGGATCAAATTCAAATATTTTAAGATAGTGGAGACCAATGGAGTTTTTTAAAACGTGATTATTTGTTATGATGAAAAAGAAAACTGAGATACATATTTTGTGAAGTTTTTTTTTTTTCGGAAGACGACTCGACTGACATGACAATTGTGCATCATAACCATAAAACTTCAAGGTAGTTATTGTCACCAAATAAACAATAGTGTTTGTTTTGAAATGGGCCAGATCATGTAGAATGAAAATTTTCATTTTATATACTACACTTAAAAATAATTGCTTGATTATATTGTATTACTCTGAACACAAGAATGAAGAACTGTAATAGTGTTCGTTACCTCAAAAATTAAAGAACTAAACGTCACAACGAGCCATGTATTATGTTGTTGGAAAAAAATACTTTCAGGACAAATCAAAAGATTCATGATCTAAGGAACAATGTTTTCATTTATTTTTGGCAGGACTAGATGATCTCAAATTGTTCAA